TATATATATTAAAACTTGACTTGAATTCTACTTGGATGATGAAAGAGTACATTGGACACATAAAAGGTTTTATTTTTGGTATCGTGGAACTTAACTTAAGATTTTAATTGGAATTCGTAGAGACTTAATATGAATCTGTAACTTGACTTGCACTGGAATTTGACTTAGTATGTGAGGTTAAGATAAAATATTTAAAAGCTTAATTCACAAATTTACGTTTGAGAATAAATTTATAATCATAATTATATATCATTATAATATATCATATAATATTTCATAGGGAGCACAAGATAAACTTATGAACTTGTGGACTAAAGTTAATGAAACGAATATAATTATGATGGGAGATTTTCAAGTATGAGTAGAGGTTTACGTACTTACTTTTAAAACGCACACAATATTAAAATTGATGAAGCAAGACTTCGCTAAAGCAAGGTTCTTCTAGCATGAAAATTAGAAATGGTACTTAAGGCAGTACAGCTAAAATCACATCTGAAATTTATCAGCAAAAGTGGTTAACGATATCACATCATCCTGCCCGGACGAAGGTATATAACTGGATATGTTGGTGAAACAAATCACTTTGCATTACATTAAAATCATGAACCGAAAAGTTAAAAAACATGGTGTCTAACGAATTAAATTTATCAAAAATATAAACAAAATATACAAAATTAATCTCTTATTTAAAAAAGAAAAACTAAAGGAATTTTAATTTTATATTAAAATTGATGCTTAAGATAAGTAATAATAAAAAGATTATTTATCAAACAGCCCGCTTTGTTTTATAAACGGCGTTTAACAGCTGATCTTACTACTGTAAACCCTTAAAAATTTTTAGCTATTCCTGAGGTTCATTTGCGTTTGTTCTGTGGTATCAAGGTTGATTTGAGATTTATTTAAAGTTGATTTCAAAAACAACCTTAATAGGTCGACCTCCCAAGATATATACTCAAGGTGTATGAAGTTGTTTTATTCACACTTGGGTTTTTTTTATTTATTTACTTATTAATTTATTTATTTTTGAGGTTGAAGGAAAATCTATATTAAAGCAACCAGCTTAGGGAGGTTGTTTTTGAAGTGTACGGATTATTTTTCCGACACATCGTTCTAAAATTCTAAACTGTGCTGAATTATGGAAATGATATATTATTCTTAATATAGAATTGATCTTTGATTGCGCTGGAAACAACAACTCGCAATGGAATGTTGACAGAGATGCCAACTGTTCCGGACACGCCAAAATAATTTTTAAAAAAACTGTAAATAACTACAAACAAAATTTTGCAAATATTTGACTATTTTTGCTTGCTTTTTAAAAGGTATAGCCATAAGTACTGTAAAGTGATGAATTATATAAGCCTGTGAATTATTGAGCTGTATTTCAAGCCATTTTAAACGGAGTGCTCTTGTCATCGCCGGTTGCTTTACAGCGATAATTCATTAACTCAAGTTATTCAGTGGCATTCACAGTATAAAGGATATTTTAATATAGCATTAATCTGTGTAATATAAGTAATAATAGTGAAAATATTTATGGCAAATTACAGAAACGCATTTTAAATTTATAATAATAATAACAAAGCTGTTTTAAAGTATTTATAAAATGTATTTTCAACTAATAACAATAAAAACAAATCAAAATAGTAATACTGTAGGCTTTTTAAGAGCAGGAAACATGCCTAGAAAAAAATATGGAACTAGTTTGATTAGTTATTATGACACCAATTTTAAAATGCATTCCTCACTTAATTTCAAAAATGAAAATCCAGAAAAGTTTACTTCATTCCTTTTTTTTACAAAAACAAAAATATCTTCGAGTTGTACCTCTATACAATTTCATAACAATTTGTAAAAAGTAATAATATGACAATTTTATTCACTTTTCGATTGTATTTTAAGGTTGCGAAAGATATGTATGTTTCATATTGTCTGCTGTTATACATAGAAACACATAGAATATTTTTGAAGAGAGCTTTAAATATTTCTGAAATATCATCTCATCTTTCTATCATTTACAATGATATGCTTCTTTCTTACTTCTACGTAAAATTTTTAATTTAAGATTGGCCTATAAACATTAAACAGAATCATTTATTTAATTTTGGAGTTAAAGATAAAACCATAAACATAAATCTAAAAACTTATGATGAAGATTTTTTTAACTCTTTTCTTTAATTAAATTTAGAGAAATATTTTCAAATTTGTTACTTCTCATTCATAAATGTGTTGATTGTGTAAAGAATTTAGATCTGAAAACAGAACAAAAATGACCTGGAATTGATCGGCCTCGAAACTTGAATACAATATATAATGAAAGACTCCGTAAGAGTATAATTATAATTTTCTTATTGATAAAATAATGCTTAATTATATAAATACGGTGGGAAATTAATTCTCGTGCTGCTTTTTTTATCTTTCGGAATTTATAGGAAAAAATATATACAAATTACGAATAGTTATAACATTTCAGGTAAAAATAAAGAACATAACTTTTGTTAATAAAACAAAAATTTAATTTCTTCATTTAGAAATATTTTTTAGTTTGTATGGTAACATTTTAGAAAAAATTCTGATTTTCAAAATTATAGTTCTTATTACCATGAATTCAGCAAGACATACAAAACCAAAAGTAAATTTAAATAATTGGTTTTTATGCCAGTTATTATTAGTAGTAGTTTTTATATCATGATAAAACCATATTTCATTGTTAATTTTATCAAAATCTCCGTCGAAGGTCTTTTTTAAAAATTACCGAGGCTTTTGGTGATCCCATAGAACCAGAAACATGGTAAACTATACTATATTCTGTTAGGTTTGACATTTTTAATTCTCAGTCTATAATGAAATCAAACTATTCTATTCAATGACGTCAAATACGGAGAAAAAGAAGAATTTTATGTTAAAACCTTTTTTTCATTTAAAAGTAGCAAAAATAGAAGTATAAGGAGTGTTTCAAAACAATACAAGTATAAGGATTGTTCTTAGTTAAATTTATAGATCTTAACGCACTTAAAAGGAAAAGTTTTTGGAATTTCTAAATATTCCCACACTTTAAATTACTTTGAATACTTTTTCAAAATGTAACTTGAACTTTCTTTTGAGAGTAGAGATATCTTAATTTCGAACAGAATAAAAAATTCACAGAGAAACAATCGACAGCGTAAAACAAATTCATTACTACGCCCACTATTTATGTGCCAAATTGCAAAAACAATATTAATTAAGAAATTCTATTTTGCTTCGAACGTTTCAGTGTACATGAAATAACCGATAGAAAAGAAAGAGCTTAAAAATCGATTTCTTTCGCAAATTAGCACTTAACATGTTTTCACCTTCATGCGAAGTCAAAAAAATGTTAGAAATTTTCTCAGCATTTTTGAACTCATTGACCTGAAGGCGTATTTCATTAAAAAAAAAATCTTTTTGTTTCATTTTCGTGATATTTGGCAAGAAAAACTAAAACTTCAAATCAAAACTTTTACCATAAATAGTCGAGTTTCCTCGCCAGAGATTAGTTGTATTTTAAAAGTTGAACCATTCAATAAATTCTCAAGATGTTTCATCTGGTAAGAACGATTTTATTGCTCTCAATGATTTTTAGTCGAACTCGTTTTTCTCCTATAAATAATACATATCAATAATATAATCAATAATTCATATCAAAAAGATTTAATATTAGTGCTGTAATACTAGTTTTAAGCTTAATGATATTTGGGTTTATTAACGGGTATATATTATAATAATTAAGGCTTAGTAATATTTAGGCTTAATAACTACCAGTATATTGGGGCAAATAAATAATTTAATCTTAATACTTTAATAATACTTCCCGAAACTTATTTCTTTCGTATTATGTATTTGTATATATATATTTGTATATCTCTTAATCTCTTTAATACCATTAGTGATTCAAAAAATTGAGTTTTCTCATTTATTTATTTTTCAAATGTTTATTACATTCGCTATTTTCCATTTTTCTATGTAAATTTATGCGATCTTTATCTAGTTTTATAAACATTATAGTCTTGGGATAGTCTTTTCCCAAAGGCAAAATTTTTGCATTAGCATGTTTTTGGGTATTTTTGTCAGTAACTTTAGAAGTTACTGGAGCTGGCAAAAATACTCAAGACAAAAATACTTGATTATTAAATACAGGCTGAATTTAATGATCGAGCTATTAGAGCAAATTGGAGCAAGAGTTGGTGTATGTAATCTTGCTCATTATGAGAAATTCACAAATTTTTTGAAAATATCTCATTTGGTTCGACAAAAATATGAAAAAAACATAACTGATAGTCCCCTAATCTTCGATATTTTTGTTGGATAAATCTCAAAAAGTAACTCCGTAAGAACAACTTTGCAAATCTGAGAATATTTGTAAAATTGAAATGTTGTTTCAGTTTATTAAATAAATAACCAAAAATTAATATTCATATTTTATTCATTTTTTTAGTTTCTTGTAATCAGTGCAGTTTTGTGCCACCATTTTGTTTTTGGATATGGTGGATTTGGGGGCGAAATGGTGAGTATAAAAAAAATTTATTTTTAAGAAAAATAACGATGAACAGAATAGAACAGTTCATGTTCGCGATTTTGTGTGAAAGAAAACATATATTCTTAACATATACCATATAATCTTTATAAATGAATTTGCGATAGGTTACGATAAATTCATCGTGTTATAAACTTTTTCATTCACGCAATAATCAAATTGTCTAAACTTTATTTGTACAGTAAATTTTTTTATAATTTTTGCACAAACTGCCACTCCTTAGTGCCCCCCTACAACTGAAATAGCAAAAAATAACTGACACTATACCTATACATTCGTTTTCTGTCAGCAAAAAAAAACTTGATCATACTTTACCAGTTTTTCCGAAAAAAACTCGTGCTTTAAGAGGTAAATGATATTCTGCTTATCCGAAATAAATTTAATGGATTTAAATTATTTTATCCATTAACTAAGTTAAATTTTCCAGTATAAGCATTGAGTTTTGTTGACCATCACTTCCTTAAAAGGAGATGAGATACTCAAATTAAATACAACAACATATTTTCAAACAACATTTTTTTTTTAAAAAAAAAGACAGAAAATAGTAGTTGAAGTAGAAAGAAATACATCAAAGGTTTAGTTATTAACAGATTTGCACTTACTAAAAGAATTTTCTTCGAGGGCTAAAATCACTATAAATTATCTAGTGCTAAAACTGCTTTTCGAAGATTTGTATAGTCTTTTAGAATTATTTAAATATTGATTCGATACGCAAAGAATTATTTAAAGATTAACCTTTAAAAAATATACTTGTTACCATGAATGACGGAAATCAAGAGAATATCCACTTTCACCGATGAATGTCAACATTCACATAGTCGTTTCGTAGAATGTCCGAAATATTTGTTATATCCGATTTAATATTTATTTATTCGTTAATATTATTATATTTAATCGATATTTTAATATCTGCTGAGATAGAAACATCAGTGTTCGGAGTACCGATTAAATACATACTGGGCAGTAACACTGAATCTTAAATAAATATTAATGTAGGGCATACCGGGCAAATGTATAACGGGCAGTGGTACTTCACTAAACCTACTATATATTTCGGGCATTTACCAAAGCGATTATGTGATTATCAACATTCATCGGTGGAAGTCAACAATCACTCATTTCGGTCATTCGCAGTAACGTGCTCTTAAAACTTGATGGAAATCTATTATTTGTATTTTTACCCTGGATGAGGTTTTCCAAAAATGGCCCTTGTCACAATTACCCCATGGTCACAGTTACCCCACTGTACCCTAACTAATATTTACGTAGAAAATTGATCTAATCTACAATATTGTATTACAGCATATGCCGAAACCATATCAATTCGGATACGTTGCCAAAATTAATGGTGGAGAATCACATCACCATGAATCTGGCATTGGAGGTGCAGCAGTCCAAGGAAGTTACGGGTATACAGACGCCAAAGGTATTCACAGAGAAGTGACTTACTTGGCTGACCAAGGAGGATTTAAAGCTCAAGTCAAGACAAATGAACCCGGTACCGCCCCTAAGGATCCAGCAGCCGTCCAAATGATGTCTACTGGCGATGAATACATGGGAGCTGGATTTGGTGCTGGTGGCATGGGTGGTGGATACATGGGAGGAGCTGGCATGGGTGGAATTGGAGGAGGAAAAGGTGGATTTGGAGGAAGAATGTGGTAAACAGGAAAATGAAATCTGGAATTTAGACAAATTGTAAGTATACTTTGTTCACTTGCTTTTTCATATAAATGATTTAAGAGTTAAATGTACACAAGGTGTTCCATAAAGTGTGCCTTTAATATGAAATTTCAGAATCCTTATCACAAATGAAAATAAAAATGTAAACACATTTGGATTTGCAAGTTAGTATTTTAGAAAAGAAAAAAAAAACTATATAGAAACCTGAAAAATTACAATGGAGAAAGGCGAATGTAAGAAGCACTAAAACAGATTTAACTGGATATTTAAACCTGTGTTTTTAATATTTCCCATTGTTTCCCCCAACAATTAGGCCTGTTTTATTGATCATTATATTCACTTTGCTGTAATCTATTTTTGTTTCCAAATTCCAGTAGTGTTTTGCTTTCTCCTCAATAAAATTTGATTTCTGACCTTCGACTTGTATAAGTGTTTGTTTCCGCGCAATTTCAAGATTTAAATATATATATTAAATGTGATCTTCACAGAACACTCATTATGTTAAAATATCTATCGTAATACAGTTATAGTTATATTTTTTTATTACAAACTTAATTCATTAAAAAAATATTTTTTTTACTAAAAAAATAATTTTACCTATCTAATGTTATTCTCAGATATCATAATTAGGATAAAAAACATTAATAACCTGAAAATATTGTGCTTTTTTCGTTGAGGAAAAGAGAATTTATGGTTATGAAAGTTCCAACTACTAAAAAAATAATATTTTCTTTAAAAAAGATCCTTTTATCTTTTTTTCTCTTTAATGATTTTCCTGTTTTTAAAAACAGATTTAAAATATTTCCTTTAAATCTCAAGCAAAACATTTATTCAATTCAGTAACAAAGGAAAGTTTATTTAAAATTTTAAAGAGTTTAGTTTGTCTAGCATAAAATAATAGCAAAAATAATCATTGAGTAAAGAAATAACCGCATTCCGATTCTATCATATTTATTTCAGATGATCTTCTATATATTTAGAAAATTAATCCTGAGCTATTTTCAAAATAATGTTTATCTTTTAGTGTTTGATCGTAAGTTAAATTACTAAGGAATGTTCCTTTGTATCAAATTGATTCTGAAAAAAAAAATTATAAGTTTTTTCAGAGACTGCAAGCTAACTGCATAAGTTTCTTAATGATTGCAAGTTAAATGAAAACGTTCTTACTTCTTAAGTAACTGCAAATTATCATATAATATAAACATACCATCACCAAGAGAAGAATGTTGTAATGATTGATCTAAATTTCAGCTGCATGTAGATAAAGAGTTGTGTCAGATCTTGATCTGCTTAAAATACCTTACATTGTTTTATTGCTAAAAGTAGGCTTTCTTGAATTACTGTTAGGGCCATCATATTTCAAAAGAAGTAACTTATGAATAATGCTTACTCAAAGTTATTAAAAGCAACTAACAGATTTTAATATTGAATCAGTTCACAAATTTCAAGTGCGTCACTGGTACAAAAAAAAAGAGAAAAAAAACTGAGATACATTCTTTGACGTGAAAATGGCTAATTTTCTTGAACAATTTCTTACATTTATCTTGAGCAATTTCTATTATTTCAAACCTGGATTTCAAGCTATGAACATTTTCTTAATTATTATTTTCGAGTTATGTCTTAGTTCTCTAATAATCATTTCAAACTGCATCCAAAAGATTTCAAAAAATTTAAACCAAATACAAGAAACCAGGATAGCCTGGTTGGTAGAGCATTGGTCCCATGTTTAAGAGGTCGCGAGTTCGATCACCATCGTCCTAAGACTCCCCGCGTATAAAATCGTGACTAATACACACTATATCTGGCTGGGTCACAAAGTCCTACAAGTTCTCATGGCCGATCAATATTTTTTCTACTGGATCGGATATTGATCGTGCTCTGTTTCAGGTCAAAATTGCGATCTGCGGTTTGATGGATGGTGTGTGGAAATGTCTTTACGGGCTGTTATGTATGTGTGTGGCAGAAATCGAATTCTTGACCATAGATAGCGTCACTGGGAAAAAGAAGAAGTGCATTCCTCTGCCTTAAAATTGGCTTATCAGTATTGACAGGTGGAATAAGACAACGACGACAAACCAAATCCATTAAGAGTTTAACAATCGACACCACCCCTTTAATGAACTCCCTTTACGATTTTGAAAATTTTTTTACCTTCTAAGGAAATCCTGGAAATGCAGAAAACATGAAAGCAATTTTGCGAAGGTTTTTATAACGAATATACTGTGGACAGAATAAATAAATGAACCACCCCAAATAACTGTTAATCTAATGATCGGATCTCAATGGTCCGAGAGGTTGACCTCAATTATGCTAATTAATTAGTGCAGAAGATATTTTAAATTAAAACTAAAATTTGATCTATGGAACTCTTCGATACAAATATTCTATTTTGCTGTGTAAATGTGTCTTTAAAATAATGTAAAATATGTATACCTTTCAATTCAAAAAAATTTTTTAACTATCATCGAATAAAGCAATAAAAATTAACTAAAATCTATTTTTTGCAGAGGAATTTCTTTAGATTATAGAATTTTATAATTTTGTGCAAAAGTTTTTTTTTAATTATCTAAATTTCTCAAGATATGGTTAAATATACAGAAAGTTGAATTAACACTAAAGGGTCCGAGTTATTGGGACCATATTTCCCAGATTGCGTATACCCCCTATATTTTGGGTGTCAGAAATCCAAATCCCTCAACAAAAAGTACACTCTATAACAAAAAAATCAACGTACCAAGAACGCTCTAAGACGCGCAAAATCGACGCTCCATCAGGCTGGAATGATGCCGACTGGGGACGTATAGTCTTTAGCGACGAATCCCGCTTCCAACTGTGTCCTGACGATCATCAAAAACGTGTTTGGAGAAGCACAGGGCAGAGGGGGGATCCTGCCTTCACTATTGCATCCCACACCGGCCCTCATTAAGGCATTATGGTCTGGGGTGCCATTTCCTTTGACAGCCGGACCCCTTTGGTCATCATTAGAGACACACTTACTGCACAGCGGTACGTCGACGACATCCTAAGACCTGTTTTGCTACGGTTCCTTTTGCACCGCCTTGGGCTGGTTTTTCAGCAGGACAATGCCAGACCACATACGGCACGTGTTGCTATGAACTGTATTTATTGCAAACT